TTTTGCCTTTTCATACTGTTCATGGAGTTCTCAAGGCAAGAATACTGAAGTGGTTTGCCATTCCCTTCTCCAGTGGACCACATTCTGTCAGATCTCTCCGCCATAACCCATCCATCTTGGGTGGCCCCATACAGCATGGGTTAGTTTCATTGAGTTAGACAAGACTAGTCTGTGTGATCAGATTGGCTAGTTTCTGTGATTATGGTTTCAGTATGTCTGCCCTCTGATGCCCTCTTGCAACACCTACCGTCTTACTTGGGTTTCTCTTACATTGGACATGGGGTTTCTCTTTAATGGCTGTTCCAGCAAAGCACAGCCACTGCTCCTTACCTTGGATGAGGGGTATCTCCTCATGGCCGCCCCTCCTGACCTTGAACGTGGAATAGCTCCTCTCAGCCCTATGAAATTGAAAAGTGAAAGTGAAGTTGCTCAGTCGTGTCGGACTCTTTGTGACCCCATGAACTGTAGCCCACCAGGCTTCTCTGTCCATGGGATTCTCCAGGCAAGAATACTGGAGTGGGTTGCCATTTCCTTCTCCAGGGAATCTTCCTGACCCAGGGATCGAACCCAGGTCTCCCACATTGCAGACAGGTGCTTTAACCTCTGAGCCACCAGGGAAGCCCTCTTGGGCCTATAGCCTTCCTTTATTCTGTTGCATTTTTTCTGTTTCCTTTAGTCCCACCTGTCAATAATCTCATCTCTATTTCTGTCTTCTGCTGAGATGGCTGATTAAATCCATGAGTCACACCCAGGTTCTTTTTATCTAATGGTTGTTCAGCCACACCCTTATTTTCTGTTTTGAACAATCTTTCTCACTTTTTATCTTTTTTTTTTCAATATGAATAGACTGAGAATTTTCTACACCTCTAGGTTCTTTTTTGTTTAACAGTTCCTCCTTCAATTCATTGCCTTCCTTTTGCATTTTACTATAAGCAATCAGGGAATCACACTGCTCCTTCAACACTTTGCGTAGATATCTCCTTGGTTAAATTTATCTGATTTCATTGCTTATGAAGTCTTCCTGCCACAAAACATAAAACACAATTCAGCCAGTTTTGCCACATTAAAACAAGCGTCACTGTTCCTCCACTTTCCAATAACCTATTCCTCATTCTTGCTGAGACGTCACTAGAATGGCCTTTAATATCTGTATTTCAACCAACATTCTGTTCATGATTATTTATGTATTCTCTAAGAAGATGGACGTTTTCTCTCCATGGCTCCTCTTTTCTTTCTGAGCTCTCACTGGAATCACATTTAATGTCCATATTTCTAGTATGCACCTCAAAGCTCTTGCAGCCTCTACCGACTTTCTGGGCTCCTCTGGTGGTTCAGACAGTAAAGAATCCGCCTGCGATGCAGGAGAACTGGATTCAGTTCCTGGTTTGGGAAGATCCCCTGGAGGAGGGCATGGCAACCCACTCCAGTGTTCTTGCCTGGAGAATCCCATGGACAGAGGAACCTGGCAGGCTACAGTCCATGGGGTCTCAAAGAGGCAGAGGGTTGGACACAACTGAGAATTAAGCATACAGCACACACACTCCCTAGTTCCAAAACTGCTTCTACATTTTTAGGTATTTGGTACAGCAGCATCCCACTTCTTGGTGTCAAAATTGGTATTCGTCATCTTGGGTTGTCAAAACAAAATACCATTGACTTGGAGGCTGAAACCACAGAAATCTGATTCTCACAGTTGTGGAGACTGAGAAATCCCAAGTGGAGGTGCCAGCCAGTTCTTTTTCTGGTGAAGGCCCTTTTCCTGGCTTGCAGATGGTTACATTCTTGCTGTGTCTACACATGGTGGAAAGAGGCAGCAAACTCTCTAGTGTCACTTCTTAAAGAACACTAATCCTATCAGATTAGAGCCCCACCCTCATGACCTCATCTAACCACAGTTACCTCTCAAAGGTCCCTTGACCAAATACCATCTCTTCGGGATTTGAGCTTTAGCATACAAATTTTGGTGGGACACGATTCAGTCCATAGCATTATGTATGCGATACCAGGTTGGTGCAAACTTAATTATTGTTTCAGACTGTGAATTTGAAATCATTATAACTAGGCTCAAATTCATCTTTATTAGTCAAAATAGGAACCATTACAATCAACACATTTTGTTTGTTTGTTCTTGGCTCCTTCGCTTAGCGTAAAGTTTTTTTTTTTTTAATTTAATTGGAGTATAGTTGATTTACAATGTTGTGTTAGTTTCAGCTATACAACAAAATGAATTGGTTATACATACACATATATCCACCCTTTTTTTAATCAGCACGTTTGCCAATGAGAAATAAGTTTGTTTATTCCTATAGCATAAAAAATTAGTGTTTCAGGATTTGATGAATTCTTGGAAAGCATTTTCTGCATCCTGCTGGTTGTGGATTTTGCCTGCAAAAAGTTGTCAAGATGCTTGAAGAAGTGGTAGTTGGTGAGAGGTCAGGTGAATATGGCAGCTGAGGCAAAACTTCATAGTCGAATTCGTTCAACTTTTGAAGTGTTGGTTGTGTGTGTGGTTGTGTGTTGTTGTGGAAAAGAACTGGGCCCCTTTTTTTGACCAATGCTGGCTGCAGGTATTGCAGTTTTCATTGTGTCTCATTGATTTGCTGAGCATGCTTCTCAGATGTAAAAGTTTCACCAGGATTCAGAAAGCTGTAGTGGATCAGACCAGCAGCAGACCACCAAACAGTGACCATGACCTTTTTTTGGTGCAAGTTTGGCTTTGGAAAGTGCTTTGAAGTTTCTTCTCAGTTCAGCAACTGAGCCGGTCATCACTGGTTGTCTATTGTTGCATAACATCCACTTTTTGTGGCACATCACCATCCTATCAAGAAATGATTCGTTGTTGTTGCATAGAATAAGAGAAGACAACACTTTTCAAAGTGATAATTGTTTTGATTTGTGGTCAGCTCATGAGGCAGCCAGTTATCAAGATTTTTCACCTTTCCAGTTTGCTTCAGATGTTGAATGACTATCAGTGGTCGACACTGAGTTCTTGGGCAACTTCTGTTGTAATTTTAAGAGGATCAGCTTTGATGATCCTTTGAACTGGTTATTGTCAGCTTTTGATGGTTGGCCACTACATTCCTCATCCTTAAGGCTCTCATCTCCTTTGCAAAACTTCTTGAACTGTCACTGCAGTATATGCTTGTTGGCAGTTGCTGGGCCAAATGTGTTGTTGATGTTGCGAGTTGCCTCTGCTGCTTTAGGACCCATTTTGAACCCATATAAGAATTGCTCGAATTTGCTTTTGGTCTAACATCTTTTCCCTAATCTAAAATAAATAGAAAATAAACAGCAAGTAATGTCATTAGCAAAAAAACATAAAGCAAGAAATGTGCCTTGATTAGCATAACCACATTTATTTAAGAATGTATTCTAATATCAAATGGCAAAGTTCAATAATGCAAAACCACTTACTTTTACACCAACCTAATACATGATTCACTTCTGAATTACGCTGGTTGGCATTATTTTAATGTGTGTAACCAGGAGAAATTTTTTCTCTTTTGGGGACTGGGGCTGAGTAAACTGGGGCTATGGTAAACCATTTCTTTACATAGAGATTATTATACTGCTTAGACTTCTTAAAATTTTTTTGAAATATTAATTAATTAACTTTTGGCTGTGCTGGCTCTTCATTGCTGGGTGGACTCTTCTCTAGTTATGGCAAGTGAAGATTACTCTCGAGTTGCGGTGCAGGAGCTTCTCATTGAGGTGCTTTCCCTTTTCGTGGAGCCACAGGCTCTAGGGTGCAGGCTGCAGTACCGCCTAGATGCTTTAATCATGATTATGTGTAAATGTGTGTTATTGTTTATCCATTAACATTGGCCTCTTAGAGAAGAGCTACAAATACCATGAATTCAATAGCGGAGACAAAATCAGAGTTGGCTTTTATCCTCTAATATGAGGTTCCTAGAAGAGTTGAATTCATAGAGTCAGAAAGTATATTGGTAGGTGCCTGCGGCCAGGGCTGGGTAAGAGTAGGGAAGGGGGATGGGGACTTAGTGTTTAATGGGGACAGAGTTTTAATTTAGGAAGGTGAAAAAAATCAGGAGATGGGTGTAAATATACTTAGTGCCACTGAACTGTACAATTAAATATGGTTAAAATATTATATTTTATGTGGCTTTTACAAAAATAAAAATAAATTAAAAAATAAAAAATAAAAAGCAGAGCTTGTCTTCTCTACTTCTAGCCTCGCCTTTCTACACCCTTTCTCTTGGCTGTTCATAAGTACCCCTTATTTCTTTCTTCTCTCTCCTTATGCACCGGTTAAAACTTCTTTTCTGAAAAAGACTATAGTAACAATAACTTACACAGTTTTTAGAATTTAACCAAATTTCCTTCTTATCCACAAAATTTTGCTTTTTAAGCCTGAAATTTTAGGCATTAATGAACAAAAGGACAGTGTGAAAAAAATGAAGGACCAGTCCAAGTGCACTTAAATATCAGACGCAGATGACCTCTAGTCCAGTTAGCAGGTAATGGGGCCTGGTTAGCATGGGACTTCCTACCTGCCTTCTGTTTCTGAACCCTTAGACTGTGCATATATGCAATATGCTGCTACTGATGGTCTGGTTGATCTTCAGGAACCTGTGACCTACCGCTTCTCTCTGTCCAACCAAAGAGCCGGGGGGGGGGAGAGGAGATTTGATTTTGGCGTGGGGGAGTGGAGTGGTGGAGTGGCGGCGCGGGCCCTGGCCTCGTTCTGTTCTCAAGTTAAATCTTCATTTTCCTGTTGTGCTTTGGAAATACAATAAGCAACACATGTGGCTTGTGAATGGAGAAAATTCTCGGAGGATGAGCTATGAAAAGCTTATCCACATTTAGCTTCAAAGAAGGGCTCGCATTGATTCTTTTCCTCCCAGCCCCACCCTTCTCTTCTAAGAGTTTCTCATCTGCTTTTCTCTCCTGGGCCTGAGGTTTTTTCATTTGCTACTCTCAATGTACACTGTGAGTTTAGTAAGGGTTTGGTTTAACTTTGGAGTGAATCTAAAGCACAGCTGTTTCCTTTTTCTTGTGCCTTTTCCTCCTACCCGTCAATTTTTCCCTTAAGTTTGGACATTTATAATTTTTAAAAATTAGCCAAATATCTATATTTTACAACCAAAGCTGGTTTTTGAAAACATGTCTCATTTTTCTTTACTAAAGAATTGACATACCTGAAAGTTTCAGAACTCTAGCTACTCACTGATAAATATTATTAAGAAAAATGATTGTTGGACTGTTTTGAATGGGAGCGTAGCTGTGGAATTTTTTTCTTCTTTCCCCTTCACACACCTCAGGAAGGAAAATACAGAAACACCCTTTGACTACTCTCTTGAGAAGTACTCCTTAAACCCAGAATAACCCTACACAAGTAAAACCTTTGTGTTTGGCATAGAGTGGATCCTGAGGAGAAGAGGATGTTGAAAATGACACGAAGCAGTGAGCTCTTCTCACAAAGAAATTCTGTGCTTTTAGTGTCTCTGAAAGCTATTTACTGAGGGGAGGAAAGGTAGAAAATGTACCCTTTACAGGGGCTGTTTGAATCTCTAAATCTGACTTCAGTTTCTAAGGTGAATGACCTGTGTAAATAAAATTAAAATTACCTCAGGTTTCTTTATGCAATGTTCTTCCCTCCTTTTTTTTGCCAACAGTTGGCTTTCAATTTGGGTTATGCTTGTAAGCAAAGCACCAGGTGTGTAGACAGTAAATAGTTTCAGAATGCTCTGGGGCTTTTTATACTCTCAGATTCATCAATTCACAACATCTCAGTGGAAATCAATCTTCATTTGGGGAAACAAAATACATTTTTGATATTTTGATATTTGTTTTTTTTTTTAAACATTAGTCCTATGGAACACTGGACTCTATTCAGCATGGAATTCCCATATTTTCAGCTATTGCAAATTTTCTAACTTCCTGCCTTGTCATTATTTCTGACTTAATCTGTCTAAAACTGAATTTGTCAGCCCTTTCTGGTTCCTCACTGAATTTATTCGTTTGTTGAAGAAAAAAATTGAGAGTTTTCTTCTAGTCACTGGGCTAGGTGCTAGGACTACAGTGGTGAAGAGACAGTAAGTCTCAGACCTTATGGAGTTTCCATCATTCAAATAGGAGAGATCAGATTGTTGTTTAGTTTCTCAGTCATGTCTGACGCTTTTTGCCACCCGATGGACCGTAGTCCACCAGGCTCATCTGTCGGCTCATGTTGTCCCAGGCAAGAATACTGGAGTGGGTTGCCATTCTTACTCCAGGGCATCTTCCTGACCCAGGTATTGAACCCACATCTCTTTACATCTCCTGCATTGGCAAGCAGGTTCTTTACCACTAGTGCCACCTGGGAAGCCCCCAGAGATCAAATAGTAAACAATAAATATCTTGATGATTATGTGACTTTATTTGAAACAAGTGCTATGAAGGAGATGCTCAGGTGCTACAAGTGAGTTTAACTGGAGGCGTTCTAATCTGGGGAGTCAGGAAAGATTCATTAACGAAGACGTGTCCAAGGTGAGCTCTCAAGATGACTAACTGTCCCCTGATGGGGGGCTGTGAATGTGTCCAGGGAAATCAGTAGCTGTAGAAGGTGGTTGTGAGGAGGCATATGTTTCCCAAAGAAATTGAGCAAAAGATAGGGTTTCTGGAAGAGAATGAAAGGAGAGTGATGTAAAATTTAGTCTGGTGAAGAAGGGCTTGGAGCATGAAGGCCTTTGAGCCATCTGGGAGATTTTAAATTTTGTTCTAAGAGTAATAAAAAGCCATAGAAAGATGTGAAGCAGGAGAATAACTTAATTTTTTAAAAGTAAAATAGAACAACTAGCTGCTCTCAGGAGAATGAAAGTGAAATCTTGTAGTTAGGATTTTTATCACATACTTGCCCTGCACTTCTGGTAACAGAATCCCTCTGCTTGTGGAGAATCCTTCCCCTGTGATTTGGGCAAAATTTGACTCTCCCTCATCTCCCATAACATGGGCTTTCCAGGTGGCTCAGTGTTTGCCCGTCTGTCTGCCAATGCAGGAGATGCAATAGACTAGGGTTCCATCCCTGGGTTGGGAAGATCCCCTGGAGCAAGAACTGGCTACCCACTCTGGTATTCTTGCCTGGAGAAGCCCATGGAAAGAGGAGCTTGGTGGGCTATAGCCCATGGGGTTTCAAACAGTCAGACATGACTGAGTACAGCATCCTCCATTGCAGGTGTGGGCAAATAACCCATCTAAATGTAACTGATCAGAGTTTTTTGTTCTCTTGGCCTGAGTGTTTGGTTCAGCAGTGGGCAGTGACCCAAGTCAGAGTAACCAGCATCCTCCCTAGGACATCTGCTCAAACTCTCAGGAAAGAGATAATCCTTTTCTCTCTGGATTGTCAGCTGTAAGGGCTAGATCAGATCAGATCAGTTCAGTTCAGTTCAGTGGTTCAGTTGTGTTCAACTCTTTGTGACCCCATGGATTGCAGCACGCCAGGCTTCCCTGTCCATCACCAACTTGCGGAGCTTGCTCAAACTTATGTCCATCAAGTCGGTGATGCCACCCAACCACCTCATCCTCTGTCATCCCCTTCTCCTCCTTCTCTCCATCTTTCCCAGCATCAGGGTGTTTTCCAATGAGTCAGTTCTTCACATTAGGTGGCCAGAGTATTGGAGCTTCAGCTTCAGTATTAGTCCTTCCAATGAACACCCAGGACTGATCTCCTTTAGGATTGACTGGTTTGATCTCCTTGCAGTCCAAGGGACTCTCAACAGTCTTCTCCAATACCACAGTTCAAAAGCATGAAGAGAAGTTAAAGACAAAGGAGAAAAGGAAAGATATACCCATCAGGTCAGATCAGCAGGGAAAATATTAGTAATCTTTTCTATTATTTTAAGGGAGCCCCCCTGAGACTGAAACCAACCTAAAGGGAAGTATAACCAAGTTCTGGAGAGAAAGACAGATTCCTGAAAAAATCAGACAAATCTATAGATCCAGCCATGAATAGTTTATTCCCTCTTGGCTATGTGATGCAATAAATATACTTCCTTTTAAAAAAGTAATCTAGTTTGAGTAGAATTTCTGTCTCTTGCAATCAGAGTCCAGACCAATATATGAGGTTAGATCCTTTTCTCTCTGGATTGTCAGCTGTAAGGGCCAGATCAGATCAGTTCAGTTCAGTTCAGTCGCTCAGTTGTGTTCACCTCTTTGTGACCCCCATGGACTGTAGCAACCCAGGCCTCCCTGTCCAGCATCAACTCCCAGAGTCTACTCAAACTCATGTCCATCGAGTTGGTGATGCCATCCAACCACTTCATCATATGTCGTCCCCTTCTCCTCCCACCTTCAATCTTTCCCAGCATCAGGGTCTTTTCAAATGAGTCAGTTCTTTGTATCAGGCGCCAAAGTATTGGAGTTTCAGCTTCAATATCAGTCCTTCCAATGAATATTCAGGATTCATTTCCTTTAGGATGGACTGGTTGGATCTCCTTGCTGTCCAAGAGACTCTCAAGAGTCTTCTCCAACACCACAGTTCAAAAGCATCAATTCTTCAGTGCTCAGCTTTCTTTATAGTTTTATAGTATTAATTCCCACCAAATCTTGTTGAATTTATTTCTAGGGTCTCCAAAGAACAGACTATCTTAGATGATTGAATTGGATGTTTAAAAACAATGACTAACACTATAATTTGATATGATTACAAGAGAAAAGTAGTAACTAAGTATTTAATTCATTCATATTAAGTAAAACAGATTTCATGGATCCACCTATTGGATCATTGCCCTTGAAACTTGCAGCCTCACTAGAGCAAGATGATTCATATCAGGATGTTTTAAAGCAAGCTATTACCACTCTCAAAACACCAGTATAGACAACAAGTATGACTGCAGAAGTTAGAAGTTAGAATTTAGATTGTGCTTACAACAGAAAGAAAGAGTATTTTGTAAAGGGGAATAATACAAACTAAGTATAGGATTTAAATGAGAAGAATGAGTATTAAATATAGCAAATGGGCCAATTTGTGACTATAGACAAATGTTTATATAGAAAAATGCTTAGAGATATGGTTAAAAACAAAAAGTATTTGAACTTGGTCTTATGGACTGTTTTTAAACATTTTTATTATGTACTCTTATTAANCACCCAAGAAAGAATAGTTTTGGGCTAATGGTAAAAGAGGTCTTTAGTTCAGTTTTGCTCATGTTGAGTTTAGAGTTCATGAAAGTCACAGGTCTATTAAACAGCACTATCATTCTGCTAATCACTGAGACTTTAAACTATTACCTTCTTTGACTTACGTCTCACTCTCATTTCTGAAACTCCAGAAAGACCTTAAAGTCTGCATTTAAAAAAATCAATTCTATTGAAGCATACTTTACCCCCAAAATTGCATACATTGTATATGTACAGTACAGTGAGTTGTGATAAATGCTCATATCCATGTAACAATTGACACAATCAAGATACAGAACATTTCCAGCACCCCCAAATTTCCTCTGTTCTCTTTCCATATCTGTAACTTGTCCCTCTAATCCTCATCCCAGGCAAACATCAACCTTCTCTTTATTGCTGTAGATTAAATTTACCTTTCCTAAAATCTTTCATATTGATGGAACTATAGAGTGTGTATTCTTCTATGTCTTACTTAACATAATGTTTTTTGAGATTCACCAGTTTTACTGTTGAATTATT